TTTGGTGCCAGATTCCCCATGCATGTTTTTGTAATGAAGCTTTTCAATATGGGTGACGTATAGGAAAGTAAATCTCCATCTTCGGTGGTTGTGTATCATTGATGATTCCTGAGCTTTCCAGATATTTGATACGCTCTATATGTTGTTGGCTTTCTTCATCACTTTGGAGATAACTGCATGATAACAGGGCAATTGGCTTATAGTTGTTATACAGATTGTCTGTGTCAATGTGAAGTGCTGATAGGCCAGATAAGGCCGATGGAAGAGCAAAAACTGGTTCGTCTATGGTTAGTCTGCATCAGCCAACCACCAAAAATCTTATAACTATAAACTTATAGCAAGATTTAGTTTGAATATAAATGTGGGTCGATAACATAAACGGTTTTTGAAATGAAACAAATATAACTAGTCTAAAATGACAAATATATGAGAATCTTTAAGAATCAATCCAACCAGCGTGATGTACATTATATAAATGAAGATTCAGTCTATTCTGATGTCTGCTCCATATATATCACATGATTATATAAATTCATACTGCACACTACTTATATGTAAGTAAGTATACGATAATGAACGGCAATGGATGATATTCTAATTTTTCCTGATGGATACTAATGACCTATAGTGTATTATTGTGTTTTAGTAGGAATTATCCGTCTAACTTATGACTTTCTGTGTATCACCACGCCCAAACACTGATTCATTTCATGTACTATAATTTCATTCATCTACACCCACGATGTCTGAGCTTCAACCCCCGTTCGTTCGCCCATCTCTTTCTACACCGTTAACGTCTCTTCATATGTTGCAGGAACGTATGAAGGTATAGGTATATAAATCTCTTGAACTTATTAATACCAGACTACAATAGGTGTCTTTTGTGAGGTCTGTTGTGTATTTTTTTAAATGTAGGTTGAAAATGCGCTGGAGCACACTCGGGTTTTATTCATAAATCTATATAAAGATATATCAGTTTTTTGTTCTCGGAGTGATATTGAGATTTGAATGTTTGTTTGATATGGAGCATATATATAGTATATCTTCGTGTGGGAGATAAATATCAACCAACAATTATTCCACATTTGATTTCATTTGTGGGTAAGCTGTTCTGCTTTAGATTTCGTACTGAACATGTACCACCTATATACAGGGTGTTTCACAGGTAAAGGGAAATATTTCAAAGGTAGATAGGGGTCACCAAGGTGGTTCTGAAAATACCATATTTGATAGGTCTTAGAGTTTTCATAACGGAGATACAGGGCGATTTATCGATTTCGAATAATTATTCATTCGTCTATAAGTATTGAACTACCCAGTATATTTCTCTAAAATTTGGTATGGAGCTCAAACTTGGGACGTTGAATGCAATCACCTATCGGGCGAAGTCAAAATCCAGGTTCGGCTTCAGGAAAAATTTACATTCATTCGAAATATTAAAATAACACACTGTATGTAATAATTGACAAAGTTCATCAAAGGAATCTTGAAGAGGAGAAAAAACTGAACTGGATTTGATGCTTTTTGTTTTCCCGCCACCAATTCTAATCGTAACAATCATAAACAGGAAGCTAATAGTATGTCAATCTCAAGAGTATTAAAATTATGAAACCACTTTCAATTATGATTATTTGATATATTCTTGTTGAATGATCGTTCGAAAGAGTTGACTTAGTCTCACAGTCTTTATAACAGAGATACAGGGTGAATTATCACTCGTTCATAAGTATTAAACTAACTACCCATCGCAGTAATGTTTTCTCAAATTTGGTATTGGGCTTACTTGGGACGATGGATTCATTGACCTTTCAGGCAGAATGGAAATACAGGTTCAGCTTCAGGAAAAGTCTCTTAGTCTTTATAACAGAGATACAGGGTGAATTATCGAATTATAATTCCGCCTGATAGGTTGATGAATCCATCGTCCCAAGTAAGCTACATACCATATTTGAGAAAATGTTACTGGTTAATTTTATACCTATGGACGAGTGAATAATTATTCGAAACCGATAATCCACCCTGTATCTCCGTTATAAAATTTGTGAGACTTAGTAAGTTCTTTCGAGCGATTTTTTGACTGAAATATATCGAATAATCATAATTGACAATACTCTTCAAATTGACATAGGTACTTTTAGCTTTCTGTTTATGATTGTTACGATGAGAATTGGTGGCGGGAAAACAAAAAGTATCTAATCCAGTCCAGTTTTTCCTCCTCTTCACGATCCCATTGATGATTTCTGTCAATTATTACATACAGTGTGTTATTTTAATATTTCGAATAAATGTGAATTTTTCCTGAAGCCGAACCTGGATTTTATCTTTGCCCGATAGGTGAATAAATTCAACGTCCAAAGTTCAAGCTCTATACCAAATTTTGGAAAAATATACTGGGTAGTTCAATACTTATAGACGAATGAATAATTATTCGAAATCGATAAATCGCCCTGTATCTCCGTTATGAAAACTCTGAGACCTATCAAATATGGTATTTTCAGAACCACCTTGGTGACCCCTATCTACTATTGAAATATTTCCCTTCACCTGTGAAACACTCTGTATAGCTTTTGTTATACCTATATATTATATGTCCTGAAATATTATAACTGCTTCGTCATCATATTATTAGCGACCACAGATATTAATTATTAATTTCTTATCGCCAAGTGATATGATATGACCCAATAAGTACATATATTTTGCTCATCGCACCAACAACTCTATAGTATTCATTATTCAATCTAGTTCGCAATCACTTTTGATTCGAATAATGGCATTATTATTCCCTATTGAATATATTGCGCTGGCGATAAAAATAATAACAGTCTTATTGTTACGTATGATTAATTTTGTATCATTTCCTTATTCGGAGTCACGATCTGTTATCATGAAATATTTTATAAATCAGCAAGTTGCGGTTCGTATTGATTCCACGGAATTATCGATCACTTAAGTGGCGAACAAATTGGGTATTATTAACCCCCGCATTTACAAGAAATCAGAGAATTCTTATTTTGATATTATAACAGCAGAGGTTTATGAAGCGAAAACGAATAATCAAGCTGATGGAAATACCATAACAAATGTTCAGTAGGCGAAGTAACAAAAATACACAGAGATGAACGACGTACTGTTTCGGCTCACGAAGTATCATCAGTCACCCTCGATATCCTGGAAATCGAAGTGATTATAGTGGTACGGTTTCAATTCGAACAAAGCCGAATATAGTACCTATAGTCCATGAAAGTATTGTCTTGTTGTGGCCATATCTCAATACAAGATCGAAGGTAATGATGATGGACACTGGAAACCAATGAGTGATAAAAAAAGTTGGGTACCTATTGGGTATCTAAACTGATGAAAAAACTTGTCTATACCTGAGTTCTCGATCTATCTCCTCATACTAAGGTAGTGGAGGCATATATGGCCAGAGAGATTATATGGCCCGCATGAATATTTCAAGTAATTCGAAGAAAACAAAAACAGTTTGGCATCGCTGCTGTGTTTAGGTAGCTTGGTACCACTCCCCTCAAAGACCGCATCGTGCACTCCATTTCGGAAGACTAACTAATTCAGTTTGATGTAGACCGTGGAGCGATAATAGTGTCATTAGTTAATTTTCGAATGAGAAATTTTCACCATATTGTTCACATAGCACACATCTCTGCGTGCGTACTTCACCACAAGGTAAGTAAACCATCATACCTGATGTTCCCATGAAATTATATGTCCAGTTCAAGTAGTTGATTGAGGAAAAATATGTTTTTTCTGTAACTACACGTCGGGTAATATGGCCCTCGGTGTGAGAGGCATATATGGCCCGGGCTATAAAACCCGCTATTACCCATAAAAACCGCATATGCTCCTTCCTTGGTCACCTACAGACCACCACCTGAGAATCACTCGGAGAATCAGCTACCAGATTTCGACTCAGAAGATAAAATTCCTCTTGCCCAACTAGTCGCAAGAGTTGAAGACATCAACAATGATGCTTCTAATCAGTCATTTCACGAGTTATTGCCCACACCAAATTATAAAAAGAAGCCAGCAGTTGTAAGAAGAAAAGCTTTGAATTACAAAGCTCAATTTGTTACAAAAAATATTTTCATCAAAGAGATACCCTCAACTTCTCAGTCAGCTGCTGCATCAAACTCGAACTGCCAACAGGACTCATGGTATTGCCCTGTATGCGATAACGATATGCGCATTTTGCTTTAAGATTTGGTGGTTTTTACTATTAGGCCATGGAATCATACCGGTTTTGGAATATGGCCCAAGAGATAGATTTTTTGTTATGTATTTTTCATTTCTGATATTATATATATGGATATTCCATGATATAAGTAATATTCTTTTTACCAACTTTGACTGAGATTGCAGCTCAATAGCTTTGTATTATTACATGTGTCATTTATCTTAGTCTGATATGAGTTGTCTTAAGAACTTATTGAGACTGTTTCTTCCCCCTCACTCCAACTGAGCTTATACTATTCATCTGGTGTTGTGGTGAGAAAAAGGTGAGACTGGATTAATTCTAGTAAATCTATGGTTCTGTGCTGAAAATTGTGAGGTTATATTTTCATTCTGACATGCTTTCAGCTTTGAAGTTTCAGTCCACAGGCTAAATCCTTTGAATAATTAATTTCCTCAGCCATTTCACATTTTGGTAGAATTATGTTGGGTTATGTTTTCTTCCCTTGCCCTTCCTGATAGATAAAAACGTGTTCTTTGTACTCAATCAACAACTCAGATCCGTCTCACCTCCTTCTAACTCAATTGATCTCAGTAGTGAGAACGTAACAAGGTAAAAAGAATATTGCTATACATAGCAGAAGAGGCGACAAGCAGATTTCAGATTACCCTTTATCTGTGTGTCCAGAAGCGTATCATTAAACGAGTAATGAACGATTGCACCGCAAAAAGAAATAAGCACGATCGTGTACGTGTACCTATATAAATATAAAATAATATAAAAGTGTGGAGGCTGGCTGCTATTGCGATCAGGAGAGAAATAAAAGTTTGGTGGGAGGGGATAAAGAGGTGGGACTCGATATCGGAGCCTCCTCCTTCAATATTTTCAACTCTTTTTCGTCCTCTTCCACCCCCACCCTTCGCCGATTTCCAATTTTATTATAGTTTTGTCTCGTGCCGCTAGTCTGCGCAATTGTCCACGGCCGTCTTTTGTTTTTTATCTCTGCTGGTGGGAAATTCGATCGAGCAAACGGATGACGCTCGATCGCGTCAAGTTGGCCTTGCATCCAGCAGCGATCGCTTGCTCTCCTCGCTTGCTTGATATTGATACACATATTACACGGCCAGGGCCGGCTATAAAACGCTAGACTATGCTCATTTTCGTTCTCCGCTTCGAGATGTCTTTTGTCTTCCGATCGTTCCGTCGCCTGCTTTGTGTAATCTTCTCCTCTCTCTCCTAACAAAGCACAAATAGTGACTAAGGATTTTCGTCAGTACGATTATCTTCAAAATTGAAAAATAACTGGGGAAATATAATTTGCTGACCAAAATTATTGAAGTATGGTGACCAAGCATTTCTGGTTCGAATTTTATCTTCAAATTGCATATTTGAATATTCTATATGAATATATAGTTGCCACCAGTGAAATAATTCTGATCCACCCCTTCAGAGGGTTAGTTTATTCTTACAGTTATTCAGAAATCCTTACTGACCGAGCATTTCTGGTTCGTATTTTTCCATCAAATTACATATTTGGATATCTCATATATAGATTTATATAGATGCCACCATCAGTGGAATTATTTCGATCCATCCCTTCAGATGGGTAGTTTATTCTTGCAGTTTTTCAAAAATTCTTGCTGACCGAGCTTTTTTGGTTCGTATTTTTCCATCAAATTACTTATTTGGATATCTCATATAGATTTTATAGATGACACCAGTGGAATTATTTCGATCCACCTCTACAGAGGGGTAGTTTATTCTTGCTGTTTTTCGAAAATTGCTGACCGAGCATTTCTGGTCCGTATTTTTTTATGGATACCAATAGACGGTCGGCGGGTTATAGTATATGTGACGTCAGTACTGCTGACGATTTTCCATTAATGTGTTCTAATTTATTTTGGGAAATCTATAGAAGAAGGAGTAGAATTAAAAAAAACTCTCTATACCTATACTATTTCTCATTGTGAAGAATAGTTTGCATGATCTCTATTACTTTCTCTGATTGGAACATCACTGTAATGAAATATGATGTATATTTTTTTGTGATGCAGTAGTGGTGCTGCAGCATATTTTTTGTCCTATCTATATACTCATGGGATGGTTTCGATATCAGGAATGTAATATATTATACTCGTAGTGCTTGGTAATAGTAGACTGTTTTATTAAGATCAAAAGTGACACTTTGTTTGACAAGCGAATTTTGCATTTGCGAGGCGGAGCGGTTAGCGAAGCCGAGCGAAAGCAAAATTTGCGAGTCGAACTAAGTCACTTTTGATCCGAATGAAACATGCTATTTTTTCTGCAACCGAAACAATTAACTCAAATGAACATGTGAAGTAACCACCAATGCCGTGCCATATGTATGCAATGCAACAAATATTGACAAATAATCCATGTGGTGAGAATATTCTACCTGCATTAACAGCAGGTTAGGTTTTCTAGGATGTTCGAATTGTAGTTTCAATATAAATACAACCACAGAGTGACATATTTGTGTATGGACCAGGTACTCTAATGGCAAATACCGCGCTAGTGCCAGCTATAGGAACAAGACGTGGAAAATGTTAGGTTAGTGAGCATATCAACAATGATAATATTGACAATAGTGATTATTTATTCCTCTCCATACTACACAGTGTTTGACTTGATAATCAAATGAAGTTGAACAATATCGTTGTTTGAGACAAAAAAACTATTGCATGCTTGCCGTGATTATTCAAAAACGAGTTATCCATCCCGAGAATAACGAATGAAATACAGATGAAGCAAGTATTTGAATCTTGAAGGCTTCCCTGATCAAAACAAAAATACCTAACTGAGATGTTTATAATTCCAATACTTAACTTTAATAAGGTGTATTTATATCTCCAGCATGGGTATGAAATGCCAAATCTGCTGAAATCGGAAACAAATCAGGTAGGTATGCGTCTCAACCCAAATAACCAACCGTTACAATGTTGTTTATTCTTGATGACGTCCAGTACATCCTTTTTAGTTCCTAGGAGCTAAAGTTCAACTTTAGCTCCTAGAAACTAAAATTCAACTTTAGCTCCTAGGAACTAAATATGTTGCCTAGCAACATACCTATTTTTGTGTCAGTAATAGAAACGTCAATTTAAGAGCTAATTTCGGTATCAAAATGGACGACTTTTGTGTCGGTTGCAGAAAAAGTATGTTCCCTTCTTCGTATATTTTGAGAAGATTTGATCTACACTCAGCCAGAAACCAGTTCAATTGATGATAGAAGAATGATAGGTATGTGATAATATGTGCTACCATATTGTCCATCATATAGGATATTTCATACCCCACCCAAAGAGTCTCATTCCAGAGAAGATGATTATTTTGGGTCCCACAATCTATAGGCGCCACTATCTTAATTGGTAGCATTAAAATTCATTATCATTTATTACTTCTCACCTCGACGTGCATGTGTTAAATACCCTTGATTGGGATTTCACATTAGAGCTTCATAAACCCGGCCACTTTTTTTGGTCTTATATTATAAACATGATGGCGAGAGCAATGCACTAACAGTAAACCATAAGCAACTCATTATAATATGTCTCAATATCGATATTGCCCTCTTGATAGCTCTAAATACATAAAACACACCGTCAGTTGTGCTCAAAATGGATATCGAATAAGTCTCATGCGGACATATGTTTTCAATATCTCAAATATAACCCCCTTCAAACACATGTTTAAGAAGCTATTAAATTATTTTTCAAGCCGTGTACGTTTTTTACCGACCAGAATTTATTAATATATGACATTCATTAAGCTTGTTCATTAATATCGACTATCTTTATTGGAGAATCTACACCACAACAGATGTCATTTATATGTTTGTGGGCTAAAAATAAGCTTCGACAAAGGAACCAATTTTACCGAACGGTAGGACAAGTATCGCTAGATTTCATTTCTGAAACAGTAACGGAGAAGGTAATTAGTGCGGTGTTTAAAAATAAGAATTTTTCATAGCCAGTTCTAGATATCGTAAAAACTGATTGAAACTTCATATAAGGTAGGTGCGGGTATTGAGACCTAGCTAAGGGAGATTTGAAATAAAATGAAAGATATTCTTCTGAATCAACAAATTTTACTGTTAATTAGAGTTAGACATCAAGTACTATCAAAAATAAACAAAAGAAGGCAACTATCATCATCTGGTGGCAGTGAGCGAACTAAAACATCGCTGAAAGTTTGAGACGCCATCTATGAATGTTAGCAACCTGCCAGTATGACCTTGAGTGATATGGATAATTTGAACTCGCATTTTCATTGCAAAAGCCTTATTAGCCGACAGGCTTTATTACCCGCACCTACCTTACACTTATACAGCGTGTTGTATTGTTGGAGAAATCGTTGAATGAGGGAACTAAAACATCGCTGAAAGTTTGAGACGCCATCTATGAATGTTAGCAACCTGCCAGTATGACCTTGAGTGATATGGATAATTTTAACTCGCATTTTCATTGCAAAGGCCTTATTAGCCGACAGGCCTTATTACCCGCACCTACCTTACACTTATACAGCGTGTTGTATTGTTGGAGAAATCGTTGAAAGTGGAAAATTTTTGAGAAATCGTTAAAGTGGGAAATTATGTAAAGGTACTTTGCTGCAAATTCTATCCTCAACAACGTCAACTCGAACAAGGAAGTTTTTCATCGATTTTCAACAGTTATTGATTGATATTATTGTGGTGAATTCAATAATCACGGTACGATCGAGTATAAATTCAAATTTGTATATAGGTATCAGATCTGCAAACTACTGTTTCTGAACTACACGCAATGCAAAAGATTCACCATTTAGCCTTCACAGTTTCAATCACCGTTGTACAGTCGTCTTCAGAAAACATGTCGCACATGGACGATGATGATGGCATTCTTAGCAACAATTTACATGCAGGACAAATTATTTAAAAGAGGTGTCAAAGTGTAGTTACAAACATTTTGATTAATAATATACAAGAATACTCAAATATAGATGAAGGAAAGAGAAAAAAGAAATAGAAGAATGAAAATACTATACAATCTATAAAATGTCAGAGAAGAAAAAAAAACTGCTATAAACATAATGTTTTCATTCAGATATTGAATAGCCATCATATTTCCTATACCTATAATTCATTGTATCATGATGAATATCACAGTAAACAGAAATGTTATTGAAGTTTTCCCACATGGTATTTATAGGGGACTTCAGATATAAATTTTTTCTGGCTCTATTACAGTGAAACGACGTCTTAGTGTACCTAGTTCTAGAATTTGAAAAAAATCAAAGTTGTTGCTACTTTTCAATATAAGCGGCAACGTCGCAGCGCTGAGAATATTTTAGGTCGATAGAACACAACTAATTATTCGAGGCTCCAACTTTTCAGAATAATCCTGAGTTGCGTTCTCCAGAAAGTCTAATGCGTGCAATCCACCGTGAATCAGCCTGTATACAGGGTGTTGCGAAATTCGACCGACAACGCTTGACAGGTGATAACCTTCGTGATTTCATAATCACTGAGATAGAGACATACGGTCTCCAACTGTTCAGTTCTGGAGATACAGGGCGTTGAAGTTAAGGAATTAAAATAGTTTTTTCGCAATATCTCAAGAAAAATTGGATATAATGCACTCAAATTCGGTACATGGTTACATTATTCAATGGTTCATTTTTTGACCAGATAGACATTCTGAGAATTTTATCCAGAGGTGCGCTACAGGGGGTTGTGATAACTTTTCCTCCCATATTTTCTACGCCACTGATGAAATTTCGATTATTTCCAATTCCTCGAATTTATCGTACAATTATGTTGAAAAAATGCATCACCTTCAACTGAGCTATAATGAATAGTTATCGGGATATTTGACCCAACTTAGAAGTTTGTATAGTAATTTCTCATCTTCCTCAGTAGAAGAAAATTACAAAAATGTTTGTTTTCTCTTTAGGCGTGGAATAAATATTTCTGTACATAATGAGATCTGGATAGTATCTAATCTACTCAACACCAGGAAAATATTTTTGCAATTTTCGACTACTGAAAATGATGAAATATTTCTATGCAATCTTCCATTTTGGGTCGAATATCTCGAAAACTGTTCATTTCAGCTCAGTTGAAGGTGATGCATTTTTTTAACAAAATTGAACAATGAATTCGAGGAATTGGAAATAATCGAAATTTAATCAGTGGTGTAGAAAATATGGGAGGAAAAGTTACCACAACTCCCTGTAGGGCA